GTCTTTCTCTGAATGATTTACTTCACTAAGTATAATATCATCTAGGCCCATGCATGTTGCTGCAAATGACAATATTTCACTTTTTTTTTTATAGCCAGGTAATGTTCCATTTTATATATACCACATCTTCTTAAGCCAGTCATTTGTTTATGGGCACTTGGGTTGTTTCCATGTCTTGGCTATTGTAAATAGTGCTGCATTGGGGTGCATGCATCTTTTTGAATTAGAGTTTTCATTTTTTCTGGATATACGCCCAGGAATGGGATTGCTGGATCATATGGTAGCTGTATTTTTAGTTTTTTAAGGAACCTTCATACTGTCTTCCATAGTGGCTGTATCAATTTACATTCCCACCAACAGTGTAGGAGGGCTCCCTTTTCTCCACACCCTCTCTAATTTATTATTTGTAGACTTTCTGATAATAGACATTCTGACCAGTATGAAGTGATACCTCATTTTGGTTTTGATTTGCATTTCTCTGTTAATTAGCAATATTGAGCATCTTTTCATGTACCTGTTGGCCATCTCTATGTCTTTTTGGGAAGACCTGGGACTAACTTTTATGTTAATTTCTCCAACTGGGGATTCCCAGACTGGCTGTGCTGGCAGCATGAATTCAAAACCAAATCTAATTGAGATACAGTCCTGAGTGTTGGCTATTCATTCTTATGAAGAATGAATATTGGCTATTCTTATGAAGAGAAAGACAAGCCTCTGTGTTGTCTTTCTATGCCAATGGGTAGCATTTTTCTGGCCTATCTTTTCACTTCCGTGGTTCTCAGCTTTATACAAGGGTATCAGCGCTAACTTCCACTTCACAGGGACCCAAGACCTTGACTTCTTCCCTTTAAGAGTCTTAAAACCAACCTTCTACATTATAGAAATGGGCACTTGTCTCATTACGTGGAGGACAATATGCCCAACCAGCTCATGATCTTACTGCTCTGCTTTTCCAATTTCTATTCGTTCCTGACTTCTCAATATTTCCATTTTTTCCTTATGAAACTAACTATAACAACTATGTTATAAACTGTAACAACTAACCCGGCATTTCTGGCTGTTTGTAGTAGGAAGATTTTCATATTGTCTTGTTGGCCGTGTTGCTGCAGTTCTAAGTGTCTAATCCCAGGTGTGTGTATTTAGTACCTAAAGATTCCATGAGTCATCATTTCAAGCATTCTCTTACAATATTCACAAATCCTTTGCCCTCTTTTCTTTCCTGGCAAAACTCCAACGCTTATACCTTGCCTTTGGATTTGGCTTTCTACTTATTACAACTTATACCTGTACTGCTGAGCAGCCCTGCGGGAAAACCTGCAGTGAAGCAAATTGATGCCACTCTGTCTTCATAGTCCTGTTCTCTGCTAAAATCTGAATGTTGCCCAGCAAGCCTAGTTTCCCTGTGAGTCATTTCCCCCGTTCCCCACAGCTATTTTAAAACCTTTCCACTCTCCTCATCCCTCTGCCCCCCTTTACAGAAGTATTTTCAGAAGATAACCTTACTTCCTACTTCCGAGAGGAAATAGAGCCCATCAGAACAGGGCTTTCTCAAATTCCATCTGCCCAACTTATGAACTCATTTACACTGGCAGACGCCTCTTTTCTCCGTCTCCCTATTACAAGGAAGGAAGTTTCTTCTTCCTGTCTGAGTAATCATATAATTGACCACTGAAGCTGGGATAATTTTGAAAGTAAAAGAAGGACTCTATTAATAATTATTCCAGGACAACAGGTGTAAACCAGAACTGTCCTGGGCAAACTGGGACATGCGGTCACCCCCTATATAAAGTTTATTGCTGAATACATCTCTTTTGCCTTCCCAAGCACCACAGTCCCTTGAACATTCCACCTCTCTCCTGTATATTCAAATTTTCCTTCTCTCTAGGTTCCCTCTCGTTAATATTTTAACACTGTCCATGTTTTTTCTTAAACATTTCAATCTTTTAAAAAGAGAAATCATGCACAACCACGCTTCCTATGTGCCAAAGATGCCTCCAACTACTGCTAACTTTTTTGACTCATCTCTTTTCTCTGCCAAATTTATCGAAAAAAATTGTCTACATACACTGTCTCTCTTTTTTTTCAGTTCCTGTTCTCCTTCATTCACAGAATTCTGGCTTCTTCCCCATCCCCATTCTGACATTACTCTTGACAATGTCACACATGATTCTCTCGTTTTTTAATAGAACAGACAGTATTCAGTGTTACCCCATTTCTTAGGTGCCTCTATCTGTGCAGCCTTGAGTGAATTAGTTATCCTCTGTGTTCCTCGGTTTCCTAAAATGGTACAATTACAGGCCGTTCCTCAGTGACTATTAGTGAAAATTAAAATAAAATAATACGTGTAAAGCATTTAGGATTTTAAAATGTTAGCCATCCCGTTGCTCATCCTTTTCGAAAAACATCCATGTTTGGTCATGGTTGAGTTAGATGGTTCCATCAGTAATTTTGCATGCCACTGTTTGAATCTTTTAAGGCAAGGCGTCAGGGTAGAATATCTTTACATTGCCATTCCAGAGTCCCGGCGGCCTGAGGATGGCAATCTAGAAAGGGAGCTAGCTTTACTTCTGTGTCCAAGGGTGTTTCTTTCATGTTTGTTATGGCTGCTAAGATTTAGCAAACACACTGTACTAAATCCATAACCTGGCATGCTTAACCTCATTAGAAGCTCACAATGGCAGACAAACCATATCTTTCCCTGACATACCTATTTGCCCTCAATGTAGCCCCACATCAAATAGCACTTACAGGGCTCTCATTCTGATTTGCTCAAACTAATTTGCAGAGTTACCGATATAATACGTAGCAAATGCTCATCTGTCCTAACTGACCATGGCCAGCTTCATCTTTAGCCCTCACCATTGCCAGGACAGCAGGCATTTGAAGGCACAATGGGATTCTTCCAGTGACTTCTTAGTTGCTTTTTCACCTCCTCTGAGTTGTTGGTTGAATTGGCCCTTCCTTTAAAATAGGTCATGTTTGCATTATATCTTGTGGACATGCCTCCACTATTTCTTTAGGTGGAAGCCAATTTTTCAGAGCTTCAATAGCCAAAGCAGATTTTCGGCAAAATTTATCTTCTAATAGTAATAATTATAGTTGATACCATTTACTAAATGCATATTATATACCAGCAGCTGTGCTAAGCATGTCACATATTTTCGTGTCTATTGACTAATAAGGATTAGAATGGAGTAGAAATAGACATGCGTGCTAAAATGAGCATCTTACCTACTGGTAGAGTAACTTTAAATGATATTATGAGCTCTCAGTACTAGCAAGTTTAATAAAATCTCTAGCATATATTACTTACTAACACAATGAGCATGATCGTTTCAGTGTTTGGAAGAAAGGAGAGTGTTCAGTTTTACTGATAGGCATGATACAAAACTAAATGGCAAGGCAAGACCAAACTGTGTAATTGAACTCCAACTAATGAGATCTGTGATAATTTTCTCTAGGCCAAAGCTAAACCAAATGGTTTTAATATCTTTGAAGACAGTAACCTAAACAATCAGTATTTGATGTTATAATTCAGTGGGCTCATATTTCATACCTTGAAGAGGGAAATGTTTATGATCTTGTACACAAATGGATAACACTGGTTCTGTGTCCCTCCACATATAGTTCAAGGAAACACTGGATCTAGGCAGACATTCACTGTGTCTGAAAGTGGGACTGAGTGTGTTTGTATGTTTATTTAATTTTCACTCAATAAGTTACATCAGGTGGTTGTTGCATTCTGAGCTTTAAATAGCACTGATAATTTAAAAGATATTAAATTCTAGCAGCTGTGCGAAAAATATATTCTTTTTACATCTGACAACCACTGTTCCCTCCAACTATTCCCTCATTCCTTTCCATGAACAGTTAATTGAAATGAGATCATTAAAGCTGTGAGAAGAAGGTCTAGCTAGGAAATAAAGATAATCTTAAAGGAGCTAACAGAAAACTGTACGATTGAGAAGGAAGAAATGTAGGAAAGGGTCGATTTTGGCCTAAGAGAAGGGTGACATCAAAGTAAGCTATGGAGAAGCTGTGAAGTCTTCCCCAGCCGAACTGTAATTTGTGCCAGTGTGTGACAATCACTTTATCAATCAGATAACAGAAAAGCAGAAAAGGAAGTGATAACTCTTATAGTCAACATTTACTGAGTTTTACAAAGCGTCAGACACTCTGCTAAATGCTACCAGTAACTTATCTCATTGAATACTCACAACAAACCCCACTTTGCAGATAAGAAAACTGAGAGCCACAGAGGTTAATTCTAAGGCCTGTAACAGGAGGAGCTGGGAAGAGTTTTGCACTCAGTTTACTCACCTCGTATAGGCACGCTGGTAGTTTCTATTTTTAAGCAAAATATGTTATAATTTTAGGTCAAGAAGGAGCTGAGGACCAAATGGATAGAATCCCTAGCTCGATCTGGATTCTGATTTCCCAGTGAAGATATTTCACAACCAGTTTTTGGATTAACTGACTTTAAAGGAACACTTTAAAAAACGGAAAATATTTTGACAATGTAACTCATAGAAGTAGGACCATTTGGGGTTATACATTTTGAGCCAGTATTATATTTTTCTCAACCCTCTGTGACAATACAATTGGAAAGAAGTTACTTTTTTTCGTTTCTTTTTGATACATTTTTAAGACACGTCTTTTACGCTGAAAAAAGATAAAATGAATATCTTCAAGTTTATAAACAAGGGAGAATTGTCCAAGCCGAGAAGACGTTCTAAAATGATATCCTATTGTTTTAGTATTATAGTGACTTCAGTCGGTTTTGGTTAATTGATGGGCTATAGATGGAATATGACCTGTTATACAAAGGAACGTTTTTTTCTCGTTTCAATTTTTTGAGTGTTGACCTAACGGTCTAATATCTGGAATAAATGAGGGAAATGAACTTCCTACTGCCTCGCTGTTTTGCAAGCTGAAATGCTTCACAGTAGAGCGTGAGGCCCTCCGCTAGCACTGTAATGGGAAGGAACGCAGCTCCTTACCCTCAACTTCCAGCTTCGCCAACTTGGAATATGCCGTCCCGAGGCTGTTTTTTGCCACACATCGATAATGTCCTGCATCTTCCTTTTGCACATTATGAATCCTTAAACTCCCGGATTCAAGAACCGCAGTGCGGGAGTTTTCCTGCCAGGGACAGGGACATGAATTAAAAATGGCCATAGGTCTGTCAAGGACACATTTGCTATATTTCATCTAGTCATCACTATCATTCTTATCAAAAATATTATTTTAACATTTATTTGGCATTTATTATGGGTAACATACAATAATAAATGAGACAGTATTAAATTACCGAAATTAATTTTAATAACAATGCCATAAGATATAGTTATTTTTATTTTCTTTCATTATATGAGGACCCCAAGGCTTACTGGATGTCCTACATCAACAAGCCTTATTTTAGGAGTTTCTTTGATATCTAAAAAAGTCACGTCCAGGTCTGTTTGATTAAAAGCATTGCTTTTAACAGCTACGCTTACTGCCTATATGGTATCCTTAGGGGAATATATATCCTTTGAAAAGTTCGAAAATTCTACAGACAATACAAAAACTGGTCTTTATAGTTAAAATGTTACATCTGTCTTCTCTCTGGGGACTCTAAATTCAGTAGTATATATAGAGCCACCGCCTGCTTTTATTGTAGAAAATATAACAAAAGGAAAGCCAGAAAATTATATAGATTACCATAAAAAATGAAAATTATTTGTTTTATTTTAAATAAAACAAAGCTAATTGATATTATGTTTTATTTCAATTAATTGACATATATCAACACCTATGTATTCCCCGTGGAATACTCTGAGTACAGAAATATGAAAAACATAATGTCTTTGACCTCACTGAGTTCACAGTTGGTAGGTTATATAAGGATGGAAAGAGACGATGGTGATGCAGTATAGTAATTTATCAATAAATGTAGATACAAAGCAGTACAAAATAAGCATGTGAATAATGCATTTCAAGTTTGACTACTGTACGTGATTGAGGTTGTTGTCAAGGTGGTTTGTTCACCAGTGTTGGGTCTTGATGCTCTAACTTCACTCCAGAATGTTCTCATTCCTTTTCTTCCAAACCTTATTTCTCTCTCTCCTCCCAGAAACTATTTGTCAGGTCTCAAGCTTGGAGCTTAGTTCCATTTTTTAAATCTCTTGAGTCTCAAAGATTCAATGTTGAAAAATAAATGATTCAAATACCAACCAACAAAAAAGACTGTAGCTTTGCTCTGCTTTGCCTCCTTTATCATCCTTAACACTACTGGTTCCTATCTCTTTTTTCCCCTACTCAGCCCCAACTGGAATGCCTTACAATTTGCATATATGGGAACAGAAATATTAAAGTTTGGTTAAATGTTGTACATGGAAACAAGTTTATACTAAGTTTATAAGTGTGTGACTGAGTTTGCAAAGGATTGTTGTATTTGAAAATGTGTTGTATATACTTTTTTTTTTTAACATCTTTATTGCGGTATAATTGCTTTACAATGGTGTGTTAGTTTCTGCTTTATAACAAAGTGAATCAGTTATACATATACATATGTTCCCATATCTCTTCCCTCTTGCATCTCCCTCCCTCCCACCCCCCTATCCCACCCCTTGCATTTATTTATTTATTCTTATAAATTTATTTATTTACTTTTGGCTGCGTTGGGTCTTCGTTGCTGCACACGGGCTTTCTCTAGTTGTGGCGAGCGAGGGCTACTCCGGGCACTTAGGTTGTTTCCATCTCCGGGCTATTGTAAATAGAGCTGCAATGAACATTTTGGTACATGACTCTTTCTGAATTCTGGTTTCCTCAGGGTATATACCTAGTAGTGGGATTGCTGGGTCATATGGTAGTTCTATTTGTAGTTTTTTAAGGAACCTCCATACTGTTCTCCATAGTGGCTGAACCAATTCACATTCCCACCAGCAGTGCAAGAGTGTTCCCTTTTCTCCACACCCTCTCCAGCATTTATTGTTTCTAGATTTTTTGATGATGGCCATTCTGACTGGTGTGAGATGATATCTCATTGTAGTTTTGATTTGCATTTCTCTAACGATTAATGATGTTGAGCATTCTTTCATGTGTTTGTTGGCAGTCTGTATATCTTCTTTGGAGAAATGTCTATTTAGGTCTTCTGCCCATTTTTGGATTGGGTTGTTTGTTTTTTTGTTATTGAGCTGCATGAACTGCTTGTAAATTTTGGAAATTAATCCTTTGTCAGTTGCTTCATTTGCAAATATTTTCTCCCATTCTGAGGGCTGTCTTTTGGTCTTGTTTATGGTTTCCTTTGCTGTGCAAAAGCTTTGAAGTTTCATTAGTTGTATATACATGTTTTAACATAACAGTCACTTACCCTGAGAGCACTGTCCCCCTTGATCCACGACACTGATGGTTTGGGATTGCCCATTGTAGTACATGGTAGAACTGCCTTTAATCCTTCTATTATTTTTATGTTTATGGGAGGACGAGTTATTTTAGGTTCTAAAGGGAAATGAAGGTTAAAAATTAAAAAGCAATATGGCTTTATTAAACTTAGAGTTTCTAAGTTTATGTTTAATTATAAATATACATTAAAAATATTCTTAGGCTTATTATAATACAGAATTCGCCAAATGCTAAGACATGTTTTTAGTGGCTATCAAACAAATCATTTTTGAAAATTTAGGTTATCTCTGTTTTATCTTATTTGAAAAATCAGTTCATAAAACATATTAGGAGTTTATAATTATCATAGTATTCTGCACTTTAAAAATAGTTAATAAAAAGTTGATTAAAATAAACTGATAGGGGCTTCCCTGGTGGCGCAGTGGTTGAGAGTCCGCCTGCTGATGCATGGGACACGGGTTTGTGCCCAGGTCCGGGAGAATCCCACATGCCGTGAAGTGGCTGGGCCCGTGAGCCATGGCCGCTGAGCCTGCGTGTCCGGAGCCTCTGCTCCGCAGCGGGAGAGGCCACAACGGTGAGAGGCCCGCGTACCGCAAAAAAAAAACAAAAACAAAAACAAAAAACTGATAACAATTCAACATTACGTAATTCATAGCAACAGGCATGAAAACATATGAAAGTAAAGTTTTGATATAAGTTTTATTTGTATAATTCTGAGTTATGACCTACTTTCCCTTTGGTTTCCATCTTAATTTGACTATTAAGTTTGATGATTAAAAATTAGATACGTTTATCCTCTAGAAAACAAATCAAATGTTACTATACTTGTAATCAGAGAAATTCTGTAATACAATTCAGAGTAACTCTACTCTGCAAAGCCAACTTGTGTATACTGTTCTGTGAAACACTCCTAAATTAATTTTTTCAGAAGAAATAGTTTATGTCAGTTAATTTTTATTCTCCAACATTGAGCTTTCAGAGGAAGACGTTATTAAATCTATTGCATAGAAGTATTGACAAGTTCAGGATTCCAATTATTTTACTATTTGAAACATTCATAAAATAATGAAAACTACATTTATTTCCTAAGGAATCTTATGTTACAGATACAAAACAAAGACTGTCTTTGCAGGAGAGACTACTGAGAAATAGATGCATTTTATTTCTTCCAGGTCATGTGCCATAATCAATTTGTTACTTTGACGTAGAAGAGCAGGAAATAAGGAGTTTTGCTCTTCTACTTCAATTTGTGTGTGTGTGTGTGTGTGTGTGTGTGTGTGTGTGTGTGTGTGTGTGTGTTGGAGGGACATGGTTTGGTGGTGGTTATAAGTGATATTTGCAAAGACTGCATGGTTTATTGATTTTTTTTTTTTTTTTTTTTTTCCGGTACGCGGGCCTCTCCCCGCTGCGGCCTCACCCGTTGCAGAGCACAGGCTCCGGACGGGCAGGCCCAGCGGCCATGGCTCACGGGCCCAGCCGCTCCGTGGCATGTGGGATCCTCGTGGACAAGGGCTCGAACCTACGTCCCCTGCATCGGCTGGTGGACTCCCAAGACCCTCCCGGACCGGGGCACGAACCCGTGTCCCCTGCATCGGCAGGCGGACTCCCAACCACTGCGCCACCAGGGAAGCCCGGTCTGTTGATTTTTAATGTAGCCATTTATTGCCATTTAGAGGTGGTATGATCCTGCAGTGTGGCAAAGATACAAGACAGGCTTTAAACATGTTATAGGAAAATATCAACGTTGTCACTTTGCGATCTAAAGCATACAATGCTCATTCTCATCAATGACAGTGAATACCTACATTTAGATAATGACTAGGCACCTCAATTGTGAGTTGAGTTGTCATACAGCTATTGGCAAAAGCTTAGCTTAGGAGTTGATACATCTGTGATATAGTCAGAGTATTATTCATTCCTTCCATTAGGCTCCCTGAACTGATCCCTATGGCAAACTTGAGTCACAGATAATGTCTTAGGCAGAAAAACTTTGCTTAAAGCAAATAACTCCTGTCTTCTCAATGAAATAGATGTCTTTGTCATCTGCTGGTGAGAGGTCAGGAGAACCTTTGTGGGCAATTGAATATTAAGAAAACTAGGAATGAACTGAGTATTGACGTGGAGTCATGGATTCCCCACCCTAAGGGAGCATGATTCAGGTGGAGCCATGAGCACTGACTAATCAGAACTGGTCATCTTGTTGAAGTGGGATGCTGGAAGTGTCCTGCTATGCCAAGACTGAACCCTTAGTTGTTGGACCATAAGGAATCTGGGGGAGGGAACTCCCGAAGGAGGTCTGAGGGTAGTTGGAGTAGCGATGGGGGTGGGGACCTTGAGGGTCTCAGGAATCAGCTCTTTAGCAGGCAGTGTGGAAGCATTCCAAAATTTTAACAGTTGGGATGGCCACACCAGTGTATACCCACCTGAATGGGTGAGCTTTCCTAAGGAGAGAGTGGAGAAAAGAGGAGGAGAGAAGAAAAAAAGAGGATTTAGGATAGAACCAAAGTCAAGAACATTTAGTGCCAGGAAAATATGAGTAGTATTCAAAGGAAAAGTAGTACCGCAAAGTAGTGAAATACTTAAATGTACTCTGTCTTCGGAATCACACCTTCATTCTTCAGCAAAAGAGAACATCCCAACCTCCTTACTTGGTGTTCTTACTGCCCCACATGCTGAAAGAAAGCCTGCTTGTGGGTACATCCCAACCTATTTGCCCTCAGAACCCCCAGATCAGCTTTCCCACGATGTCCCACTAGCCCCACTACATACCTATTATAGTTAATCTCGGACAGCATTTATAGGTGTGATCAAACGTAAAAGATTAACAGACATGTGAGAACAACCATGAACGTGAAGAAAGAGAATCAAAAGAAAATCAAAACTTAGCCTGAAGAAAACAGAAATAAAGCAGGTGAAAGAAGAAAATGCTTTAAAAAAAATGCATTAATAGTATCCTTAGATGAGTGAATGTTGCATCATACACATAAAGTTGGCTATGAAGAAAAGGAGCAGTCAGGGAAAAAATAATACCTAGAAATTAAAAATACGGGTTTTTAAGATCAAATTACAGAATATAAGGTCAGAATAGCAGAATGGTCATACTGAAGACCAAATTCATGATACAGAAGGAAAAGCCAAATAAATCTCCTAGAAAGTAGAATATCAAGATAGATATGTAGGAAATACGAGGAGAAAAAATTGGAGTGCAAAATAAAGACCTTCAGCCACACAGACATTCAGAAAATACATCTCACGTACTCACACTGAAAAGAAGCAGCAAACCACTTCCTCCAGCAAAACAATAACAATAAAACGAGAAGATAAAAGATGTAAGAAATAGTGATAAAATCAACAACAAAAACTCATCACAAACGTTCCGGGTGGAACTGGATTCCACCATGCTTTGTATGGGGCCAATATGCATGTTTCTGTGATTTTTCCCATCAGTACTGTGACGTCAGAGAGGAGAAAATAAAGGTTACTTCATTACAAGGTTGAGAGTTTACAAGCAGCAGGTGCTACAGCACAGGGGGTCATGAGATTTGAGGATGCTGGTAAGGGCTGCATGATGATGCCACACTAGGTAGGACAGAGAAAAAAGTGAAGAGAGAATTGGATGAAGTGCCCATTGGCGGGGTCGATGGAACAGAGACCCCTCCAATGGAGTTAAGGGCAGGAGAACATGACCATGATGGTGATCGTATGAAATGGAAGGAAGGGTGTGAGCTAGACTCTGTTCTTAGCTGAGAAGGAGACAGACGGAGTTTGTGCCTTCTGTTTGGAGGCACATCACGAGTGTGGGAAACTAGTTTCCTCATCGGACAGAGCTGGAAATAGAAATGTCCATGTTCAGGATGTGACCTACTGAGGTTTAAGATTTGAAATACAGTCCATTTCCTGGGGGTGACAAGGTCATAGATTGGGTTGACTGATAAAGAGTTAAGGCAAACATCACTGGACTTGTGAAGGTCAAGGAGCTATAGGATGAAGTGGATAGTGGCTCTGAATCATGGCTGTTGAAATCGCTTAGGATAATGGCAGGAGTAGGAATGGATAGAAATTTAATAAATCTGGAATCAAAATCTTTGAGAAATATGGGAGAGGACCTAGAAGCGAGTAGCTGACTTGATGAATAGAGTTAGAGAGAATGTCAAAATGGCAAAAGCCCTCATGAGAGGAAAGGTTTTGCACAGGAATACAAAATATAATGGCTTAAAAGCCACAACGAAACATCAGTACATGCTAGCCTTGTTGATACGAAGTGGGGAAGAAATAGCCTCTCTTTAAGCAGAAAAGTCACTCAAGTTTGAAAAGTCGCTCAAGAAAATCAAGTTTGAAACAAGGCAAAAGGGTAGGAGAAGTGTCTGCAAAGAGGTTTTAGATTAAAAGGGTGTTTGGTTGCAATGAAACTGTTTTGAAGGTATGGGGTAAAGATTCTAAAGGGAAGTTCCTGGTGAAAGGTGTCAGGGTGGCGCAAATAAAGAGACATATAAAGGCATGAAAATGGGAGACAGTAGAGAACAGTGAGGCTTGCCTGTAGGATGGTGGTTGATGGCAGGAATAAGAGGTGTGGGACTGTCTCAAGGTTGTGATTTGAACTTGAACTTGTCTGGCTGCCTGAATATGCAGGTATGCGGGAGGCTCTATTTACTGCCTGCTTCAAAATGTACCAAGTCAGCTTTGAAATCAATGGATGATTCTCTTTCCTACTCACTCATCTTCACTTGCAGAGCTCCACAGCTCTCGGCAGCTCCTCCCACGCCATTGTTGGCTATGCAGCAGTAAATGCCGTCATCGCTGTCTTCCACGCTCAGGATGGTGAAGAGCTGACCGTTCTCCCGAATGCTGTACCGGGTGTCAAAGAGCCTGTGGGTCGCAGAGGATTATGGCAGGTTAGGGCCCCATCTGTGATGTTTTGGCTATGATTAAATGATCAAACAGATGGCTTACCAATGGAGGAAGTAGACTAAAGGTAAGAGGAAATTCGATTGAGTTCTGAATAACAGAATAAGCTTATTTGGGAATTGAAAGCTAACATTATATTCTAATCTTTCCTAGGCTCCAATAATCAAAGCAGTGCTGAGTCCTTCAAAAATAACTTCAAAAGGTGATGTCTGTTGATGAGACCAAACATAAAATTTATTTAGGAAAGTGTATATCATTACCCAAGATATGAGTTCTGCCCCATATTTACTGGGAAGTAACAGCTAGATAATGAAAACACACACACACACACACACATAAGTGCGACTAGCAGAAAGGGATAAACAGATACTCACTACTGTATACAAAACAGATAAACAGCAAGGACCTGCTGTATAGCACAGGGAAATATATTCAATATCTTGTAATAACCTATAAGGGAAAAGAATCTGAAAAAGAGCATGTGTGTGTGTGTGTGTGTGTGTGTGTGTGTGTGTGTGTATGAACCGAATCTCTTTGCTGTACACCTGAAACTAATACATTGTAAATCAACTATACCTAAATTTTAAAAAATGGGAAAAAAGAGAAAGAGTTAAATATTTATAGAAGTAACTACCACTTAACTATTTGTTCATTCATTAATCAAATGTTTGTTGAGTGCCTAACAAGTGCCGGGCACAGTTCTAGTTCCTTGGGATACATAAGGAAACAAAAAAGATTCAAACTGTAAAAATACAGGTTTTACATATATTATCTCACTAAATGACATGCAATGTGAATGTTGAGAAGGGAATTAGGACAAAAGAAAGAAATTTGAGAGGAAGCGTCAACCTAAAAGTGAGTTTTATGACCAAATATCCTTTACGCTAAATCTGTATATTAGGCAGAGTAAAGCACCCCACCCCCAGCAAAGATCCATGTCTGAATCCCCAGAACCTGTGAATATGTTACCTTACATGGCAAAAGGGATTTTGCAGATGTCAAGGATCTTAAAATAGAGTATCCTGGATTATCCAGAGGGACCCAGTGTCATCATTAGGGTCCTTAAAAGATGGAAGAGGGAAGCAGGAGGATCAGAGGATGAGCTGTGACGGTGGAGGCAGAGTATGGAGTGACACAGCCGCTGGCTTTGAAAATGCAGAAAGGGGCCAAGGAACGCAGGCAGCTCCGAGAAGCTAGGGAAGGCAAGAAATCAGACTTTCCTCTGGAGCCTCCAGAAAGCATGCAGCCCCGCCAACACCTGGATTTTCGCCCAAAGAGCCCTATTTCAGACTTCTGAACTCCGAAACTGGGAGATAATAAATTTGTGTTGTTTCAAGCCACGAAGTGTGCGGTAATTTGTTACAGTAGAAATGGGAAAAACAAACACGACATGAAAACAAAAGGGAATGGAATTTTGATTTTTCTAATTCAATGGGTGGCTCCCATCACACACTGATCTTAAAGAGGAAAAAAGGGATGGAGTAATTTTTGGTCTAATGTGACTAAGGATAATACAATCACTGGGTAGTTCATTAAATCACGTCAAATAACTGAGGATAGCCATGATATTCACTCTCATGTAATTTTTGCTTTGTTTTTTGCTATGTATAAGTTTTCATGGAAAATATGAATATTGGAATATCTTACAGATGTGCTTGTGGAACAAGAGTCCAGCCACTCTGTGAAATATAAACTTCCAAGATTTATAATCTGTTGTATCACTGCTGCTTAATTCAAGTACATAAATTGCTTTTAGATTGTGAGGGACACAAGTATTTATAATTTTCAAAATATAAATTGTTCTTTTTTATTGAAGTATACTTGATTTACAATATTATATTAGTTTCAGGTGTACATAGCATAGTGATTCAGTATTTTTACAGATTATACTCCATTAAAAGTTATTACAAGATAATGGCTATGATTCCCTGTGCTATACAATATATCCTTGTTGCTCATCTATTTTCTACATAATAGTATGTATCTCTTAATCCCATATGCCTAATTTGCCCCCCGCCCCATTCCTCTCCCCTTTGGTAACCACTAGTTTGTTTTCTATGTGAATCTGTTTCTGTTTTGCACATACATTCGTTTGTATTACTTTTTAGATTTCATATGTAGGTGGTATCATACAGTGTTTGTTGTTCCCCATCTGACTTATTTCACTAAGCATAATATTCTCTAAGTCCATACATGCTGCTGCAAATGGCAGAGTTTCATTCTTTTTTATGGCTAAGATTCCATTCTAAATATATACCACATCTTCTTTACCCATTCATCTGTTACGGACACATGGGTTGCTTCCATATCTTGGCTATTGTAAATACTACTGCTATGAATTTGGGGTGCATATATCTTTTCAACTTAGTGTTGTCATTTTTTCTGGATATATACCCCAGAGTGGAATTGCTGGATCATATAATACTTTATTTTTAGCTTTTGAGGAGCCTCCATACTGTTTTACATAGAGGCCACACCACTTACATTCCCACCAGTAGTGTACAAGGGTTTCATTTTCTGCACATCCTCTCCAACATTTGTTATTTGTAGACTTATGATAGCTGACTGGTGAGTGGTGATATCTTATTGTTGTTTTTTCTAATAATTAGTGATGTTGAGCATCTTTTTGTGTGCCTGTTGGCCATCTGTATGTCTTCTTTGGAAGGATGTCTATTCAGGCCTTTTGCCCATTTTTTGATTGGGTTGTTTGGGGGTTTTTTGATACTGAGTTGTATGAGCTGTTTATATATTTTGGATATTAACCCCTTACTGGTCATATCATTCGCAAATATTTTCTCCCATTCTGTAGGTTGTCTTTTTGTTTCGTTGGGGTTTTCCCTTGCTGTGCAAAAGCTTTCAAGTTTAATTAGGTCCTATTTGTTTATTTTTGCTTTTATTTCTTTTGCCTTAGGAGACAGATTCAAAAACATGTTGCTATGATTTATGTCAAAGAGACATTTTTCAGAACTGTTTTAGATTTATAGAAAAATTGGAAAGGTAGTATAGAGAATTCACATATACCCCCTACATCCAGTTTCCCACATCTTAGCTAAGTATGGTACATTTGTTATAGGTAATGAATCACCACTGATACATTATTAACTAAAGTCATAGTTTATTCAGATTTTTTTTTTTTTTTTTTTTTGCGGTACGCGGGCCTCTCACTGTTGTGGCCTCTCCCGTCGCGGAGCACAGGCTCCGGACGCGCAGGCTCACTGGCCATGGCTCACGGGCCCAGCCGCTCCGCGGCACGTGGGATCTTCCCGGACCGGGGCACGAACCCGTATCCCCTGCATCGGCAGGCGGATTCCCAACCACTGTGTCACCAGGGAAGCCCAGATTTGTTTTGTTTTTACCTAATGTCTTTTTCTGTTGCATAATCTCTTCCAGGATACTACATTTAATTTATTTGTCTCATTTCCTTAGGCTCCTTCTAGCTTTGACATTTTCTATGACTTTCCTTGCTTTTGATGACTTGACAGTTTTGAAGAGCACTGGTCAAATATTTTGTAGGATGCTCCTCTATTGGAATTTGTCATATGCTTTTATCATGATTAAATTGGGTTTATAGCTTTTGGGAGGAAGACCACAGGTAGAGTGCCATTTCATCACATCATAACAAGGGTACTACTATCAATATAATTTCTCACTATTGATATTGACCTTTATCACCTGGCTGAGGTAGTGCTTGTCAAGTATCTCCTGTGTAAAGTTATTCATTATTCCTTAAGAAGCACTCAATTGTATTTTCAAAACAAAATTTCTTCCTATTTCACATATCCTTTGACTAACCACTATCTGAACCTGTTGCTCCATTCATTTCTTATTTATTTGTAACATATTTTTTGCCATACAGTAAAGGGAAGATTTAAATTTATTAAAAGTAATTTTATTCATAGTATTATAAGCCAAGTTAGAATATTTATGGTTTCCTGAACCAGACTTATAATGTTGATTTTCTTTGCATGATTTGAAAAAAACTCATTGGTTGTCCATTTCTTCATCTACTTACAATATTGGGAGATAAACACATGAGAGGATTATAGGGCAATATTTTTCAAAGCTATTTGACAATGTAGGCAACAGACTTCCTCCTTGGACAAGTTAAAAGATGATGATGGGGAGAGTAGTCTTTGAATATTGACTTTTGAATACTGAATGCTATCTAACAACTATTATAATTTCAAAGTAGAGAAGAATATAAATAATATCTCAGTATATAAGCAACAATAATATATTACATTATGTTGTAATATAAAACTATTTATAACTTCTACTGTAATAGTGTCACAGGTACTTTATTACCACTGTTATTCATGATGTATATTAAATGAGGTTTTCCTGTATTGTTTAGGAATAGTCAATTTTATTACAGAAGACAAAGACATAAGATGGATAAAACTCATAAGAAGTGTTAAGCATATAAATTGTAAAGCTAATAACTTATGAGATATTGGTAAAATGACTTGTAAGTAGAGATAAAAAGTAAGCTACTGACTCATGAAATATAGGCAGAATTGATAAATTGTGTTGAATATAGGTAGTAAATAAAATTGCAACCTACTAAACATATATGGAATAAATTAAAAATATGATGGAACAAAGAAGAGCATTATTTATGGTAGGAAGAGATGGAAAGACAAGTTCATAATTCTGCCACCTCTAGACTGACAACTTTGTCACCTTGAAAACAACCACACACTGGTGATATGCAGTATGGCCCCATTATGGTCCCATGAGCTGTATCCAGGAAACACAGTTAAAATGCATGGCTGTTGAGCAGGCTAATTGGCAAGCTCCGGCCAGGTATATTTATCCCTGCATCCCTCCAACAGGGCTAATATATATATCACTGGCTTCAGGAACCCTCCACCTGTGGGCCCTTGCTCAACCTCAACTCTGTTTCTTGTAAGAACACCACAGTGGGGACATCTGAGGCACAGGGAAGAGAGACTGGACAT